ACCGTTGGGTTATCCCTTGAAGTTTGCTCAAAATTGGAAGGGCAATGATCCTTGTGCTGGTAACTGGATAGGGATCGTTTGCGCAGGTAGAAATATTACGGTTGTGAATTTTCAGAGCATGGGCCTTTCTGGGACTATTTCTCCTAATTTTTCCAGCCTCACATCTGTAAAAAGGTTGCTTCTTGCTAACAATAATCTCACTGGCACTATACCTCGGGAGCTTACAAGCATGCCTCTTTTGCAAGAGCTGGATATCTCGAATAATCATATATATGGTCAGGTGCCAAAATTTCGGGAAGATGTGATTCTTAAATCAGGTGGGAATCCGGATATTGGAAAGGATAGGCCCACTCCTGCGGGACCCGACTCGGATAATACTGCAGGTACTGGTAAGAAACATCATTCAACAGTCATTATTATCATTGTTGTGGTGGGGCTTGTTGTTTTACTTGGTGTGGTAGTTGGGGGGCTCGTTTGGTTCAATAGAAAAAGGAAGCGTTCAAGCAAAACACAAGGCCAGAATGGCGTAGTGATACATCCTCGGCATTCTGGAGACAGAAATCACTTGAAAATCAGTGTTGTTGTGCTGGAACCGGCGCTAATGGAGGAGGAACTGATGGACGGATTACCAGTACTAGTAATGCAGCTGGTGATATTCATGCCGTGGAAGCTGGTGGTATGGTAATTTCAATTCAAGTTTTAAGAGAAGCTACCAACAACTTCAGTAGAGAGAACATACTGGGGAAGGGCGGTTTTGGCACCGTGTACAAAGGAGAATTGCATGATGGGACAAAGATTGCGGTGAAAAGAATGGAATCTGGAATTGAGGGTGAGAAGGGGCTGAGTGAATTCAAAGCTGAAATCACTGTACTCACTAAGTTCGTCATAAGCATTTGGTTGCTCTCATGGGGTATTGCTTGGATGGAAATGAGAGGCTTCTTGTGTATGAGTACATGCCTCAAGGAACCCTGAGCAGGCATTTGTTCAACTGGAAAGATGAAGGGTTAAAGCCACTGGAATGGACAAGAAGACTTATCATTGCCTTGGATGTTGCTAGAGGAGTTGAATATCTTCATGGTTTGGCCCAACAAACTTTCATTCACAGGGATCTTAAACCATCAAACATCCTGCTTGGTGATGATATGCGAGCTAAAGTGTCTGATTTTGGATTGGTTCGTCTTGCTCCAGAAGGAAAAGCCTCATTTGAGACCAGACTTGCTGGAACTTTTGGCTATTTGGCACCAGAATATGCAGGTATGTTGCAGACTCCTTAGTATAAATAATGATTCTATATGAACAAAAATTGGTTGCAAATCTACGGCAACTGTAACATGTTTCTCAACCCCCCGGGGGGGAAGGGAAACACCTGCATTGGGAAAGCAGAAGAGACCAATCATATGTTAGAAATTTTCACGGGGCTCAAAAAATAATTTTATTTCTTGCGTTGATTCTATGGTTTCTTAGCCTCATTGCTTTATAATCTTGCTCCTGCATTGATGGTGGAGATGTGGGTCTTCGTTCACTGAAAAAGCTATCTTAAGACCATCCATTGCTCTTGAAAAACGTGTCACATGATTTCATATTGTTGTCTTGTCTATGCCTTGCTATAGTTCAATTGGCTGAGAAACTGAAATGTGATTTTTCTTTTCATAAATGATTGGGTCAGTAACTGGACGAGTGACGACGAAGGTTGATGTATATAGTTTCGGAGTGATTCTTATGGAGATGATAACTGGTCGGAAAGCACTCGATGACAGCCAATCTGAGGAGAATGTCCACCTTGTGACATGGTTTCGAAGAATGACGCTGGCGAAGGACACATTCCGAAAGGCCATTGATCCAGAAATAGATGTGAATGAAAAACTCTACCCAGTATCAACACTGTTGCGGAGCTGGCCGGCCATTGCTGCGCAAGGGAGCCCCACCAGAGGCCGGACATGGGCCATGCCGTGAACATGCTGGCGCCTCTCGTGGAGGTCTGGAAGCCTGCAGAATCAAGTTCTGATGACATTGGTGGGATTGACCTTGACATGGACCTACCACAAGCTCTTAAAAAATGGCAGGCGTTTGAAGGAATGAGCTCCACCGCCATGCCCATGGATGCTACTTCTTCATCCGTGGTTTCCAGTGCAGATAGTACTCAGTCTAGCATACCCCCAAGGCCATTTGGACTTGGAGCTTCTTTCACTTCCTCAGATGGAAGATGAAGTTGGATAGGCATTTCATGGCGGGTGTATTACTCTTCAACCCAAAACTAGCCTCAAGCCTATATTAGTTTTATGTTTTCTAGGAGCAACAAAAAATATACTTTCTGCTACAGGTTTTGGCATGCAAGCAATTTAGAGATGATGTAAAAAGATTTTATCTTTAGTGGTTTTCATATGGGTTTGAATCAGCTGATGGGTTTTGCCTTGTTGCAAGGAATTTTAAATTTTTCACAGGTTTGATTTTGCTTTTGAATGCAAAAGAAAAGGGAAAAAAATCTTAAATGGTGTTCGAAATATATCTCTTTTTTTATGATCAAAATCATTTAAATATACGTTGGCAAAAAAAAAAAAGAAATAGTTAGGTGCAACTTTAACTATAATCTTATTTCTCAGTTGGAATTTTGTCCCTAATATTTTTAGTAGTACAATTTGTCTCTAATTTTTGGGTGTGATTTTGAACATGAGAAGTAAAATTACACTAAAAAAAAAATTAAGGGTCAAAATTGTACTAGAAAAAAGATCAAGGTCAAAATTAAACCTTAAAAAAAAGATCAGAGATAAAATTATATCTAAAAAGTAAGATTAAGAACAAAACTATACCACTAAAAGATTAGAAATAAAATTACATCTGAAAAATAATAGAGTTGCGTCTTAACAAAAAAATCATTTAAATCCAACGGAAGCCAGGAATACAGTCCCCACGGGGACAGAGAGTGTGTTCTCGAGCGCCGAATGTGGTGACCGATGGGGTCATGAAAGACGGACACGTGGTGGGAAGAGAGTGATCGGTGGGAATATGCTTTAGAGGTTTAATAGAGACGGTTAATATATTGGGAATAAACTGAGATATGAAAATGATGTATTGTGGCCAGCTGAGCTCCTTCACACGTCGTGATTTATATTCCTTCTTTTATTAGGATTCACTTCCTGTCCAATCCAAAATGGACTTTGGCCTTATCCCCCACGTTACTCCACAAACCCGTAGATTCCATTTTTATGTGGGGATTGCAGTGTTGTCGTATCCTAAATTATGATTTAATTAATAAATTAAAATATTTATGGTCGCCCACGGTAATTTCATGGTCAGGTGAGTCCTAACAGAATCTCATGAAATCCATTTTTTTAGATAGAATTTTGAATAATTATAGTATGTGATCTCCGATCTACTCTAGAAGCAGCCACAAAAAAAAGGAAGCAATTTCACTATACATTATATTACTTGACACCTTATACTAATTTTTAATATAAAAGCTATCTAAGTTAATTTAAGTAGATGAAGGAAACAATTTCACCATAATATTTTTTCCCAACTTGTAACGGATTTGAGGATATTAAAAGAATTAGTTAAATTAATTATTTGTACTTAATATGTATTATTTTTTCTAAAATACCCTTATTAATCATGCTCATTTGTTAAAACTATTATTTGATGAAACTTTTAACATGTACAACTACTGTAATTACTATTTTGAAAGAAAAAAAAGAATAAATATAAGAGACAAAAAGCAGTATTATATTTTTTTGTTAGGAGTCAAACTCATAACCTCTCGTTTACAGGAAAAATAATAGAGATAAAGGAAAATGCAACTTGGTATTGTTGGGTTACCAGACTCCCACTAAAAGTTGATATCTTAAAAGCAGGGGAAGATAAAAGATCATCGTTTCGTGTCGGTAATATAGGATAGCATATATGATAACTTGTCACCCCAATACGATCACAGCAGTGACGATTGAACAAAAGAAAGAATACAGCTAAAAGCTGCGCATTTTATCAGTCCAGCTTCAACTTCAGAGAGTCTCCTCAGATTTCGCCATTTGGCAATCTCTTTTGTTGGGATCAGATTCTTTTGATGCCAATCACTCTACTTTGGGGATTTGAAATCTCCTCGTTATTGTCACTGCATGGAGTTCCCATGCGTGATCCGGCTTTGCCATAATGGCAAGTATAAGACGAGACTGGTTATGGAGAAGGAAGGAATTCTCCTTCTTCTTCTTCTTTTTATTTTTTATTTTACGTGGCCTGGCAACCAAAATACTCCCTTCCCCACTCACTTGATTATGATTGAGAAAGATTCATAGACGTAATTTAAAAAAAAAATTACTACATCGGATCCTTAATATAAGATCCCGTTTGACTTTTACGTTGGTCCTTGATGATGCCTCTGTTGTTAAAGCACTCAATTAAACTAGGTCCTAATTGATTTGTAGTTTAGGATCGACCTAGGTCATTACTTCCAAGGAGCAATTTATGGGTTTCTTTAGGTAAAAATTCAGGTGATAAAAAAAATACTATAAATTGGACCTAAACTAAAATGCAAAATTCTAATTGTAAATGCAAGATGCAAATGCCCTAAAATCTAAATGAAAATTAAATTAAACTAAATGAATGCAATGCATTTTTGGGGGGGTTTTTTTGAAGGAAAATAAAAATAATAAATAAAGAGAATTAATCAGAAAGCAAAGAAAATTAAGAAGTGAAAATTGAGAAGTTCTCTTCAGGTAAGGTAGGGGGACAACTTAAGCTTCCATCAAATTGTCTCCTCCTCCAAGCTCTTTGGTGCAATTCACGGGCATGTGACGCACGGTGGATGATTTAGGTTGGTGAAGCACGCGTGGAGCAATTGATGAGAGTGGATGTTGCGGTATGGAATGGAATCAAGGAATTATGAGAGGCCGTGAGACTAGAGAAGTAGTGGTGAAGGAGGAGGATTTGACGTTCAAGTCTCTTTTTTCCTGCGTTCAATGGAGAAGGATAAAAATAATATGACGGTGGATGATTGAGGGGTCCTAGGCGTTGAATTGTCCTCTCAAATAAGGAAATTATTCTAATGGGAGAAAAGGAAATTTTTCTGAATCCAAAACTCAAGCCCATTAGTAATTAATTGACCCACTTGATATTAGCCATTAGATTGTGCTTAGATTCCAAGAAACAATCTTGCACCATTGGATTTCCTATGTGCCCCTTTCTTGACCTACAAGAATTTGAGTGCATCCATTAATGTAGATTATATCCAAATATAATTAAAAATTAAATATTAAATCTACACAAGAATTAGGCAAGAAAGTGCAGAACTTTCTAAAAATAATCTTTCTAAAAATATGAGACTTGTTTTCAAAGAAATAGGAAAAATTAATTCCAAGTCAAAAATAGGAAAGCACAAAATATTCATATTTTTAATCCAAAATCTCAATTTTTATGCAAAATCCAAAAATCAACCAATTAATCCAATTATGCATAAAAAATCTAATTAAGCTCAAAATTATCATTTAAATCCTGAATTAATGTGGGATAAAATATATAAAAATTGGGCTTTATCAGTCCTAAATATAAGACTCCAATCCATTTTGTCTCTCAAATTTACTCATTTTTTCCAAAACAGTCATTCTAATAATTATACTACCTCCGATCCTAATTATAAGGCCTAGTTGACTAATTTAAGGAGATTAAGAAAATAAATTAAGTTAGTTATTTGTAATAAATAAGTATTGTCATTCCTAAAATATCCTTGCTAATTAAGTGTATTGGCTAGCACTGTCATTATTAGAAGGACTATCTTGGAAAAAAATACATAAATATGAGAGAAAATGGATTGGGGTCTTACAATTAGGACCAAACTAAAAGTCAAACGGGGTTTTATATTAAAGACCGGAGGTAGTATTTTTAACCAACATACTCATTAGTAAGGATATTTTAGGAAAGACAATACTTATTTATTACAAATAACTAACTTAACTTCTTTTCTTAATTTTCTCAAATTGGTCAACTAGCTTCTATAATTAGGACCGGAGGTAGTAGTAAATATAAGAAATATGTTTTATGTTTGGAACAAAAATTAACTTAATAACTATGGTTCTATATTAAGGATCGAGGGAGTAAAGTTCTTTTTTCTTTTTGATACAAAACCAAAATAAAAGTACTTTTCTTTTTCGCTAAAGCATAGGTATCCTCTTCTTATTAAAGATAATCCTATTTGAGGTACTGTTAGACACTAAATGTGGATATCTTTTTTAGTGGGAATTCAAGTCTTAGTTCGCAATGTTATGAAAAATTAGTTTTTTTTACTAGACTCAACTCTCGTTAGTCAAAACCAAAATAAAGTCATGATGATCTTGTTTGCTCGGGCTGTACTGCTAGTATTATTGGTGTGTAATGGGCTCAGTCTGGCCCAACCCTCGAGCCTACTTAGTCCATGTTAAGTTTATTTGGGACAGTACCAGACCATGTGTGTTAAATATCCATTTACAACACCATTTTGCTCCCTATAAATGGAATTTTCCCCAAACCCAAATAATTAGAGGTTAAACAAACGAAAAATAAAAATCTACTTGAAAAATTCGACGATAGAATTACTCCTATTTCCCGTCTTCGAGTGATGAGATTTGCTGGGCCTTCATCTTAATGTCAAGTAATGATAATATCAAATACTATGACGTACGGTAATATAGTTCTCTACAAATGCACATGATTATATTTATACATTAAAAATTTAATCTGACAGCAAGAGTGCAAGACATTGTTTTTTCTCAAATTATTTTCTATATATCTCTAAAAAGGCTGAGAAAAATATATCCAAAAATTGCCTATCGAGACCTCGAATTATACTCTGACCGTAGTGACGGGGGATAGACAATTTTGACTGGGCACATTTTGATACAACTAGTATTATAATATATCATAGCAGCTTCAAAGATACAGTCATTTATATTAATCATTTTTATTTTTTCAATAAAGTATATGGACTACGTTACTAATGTGGATTAATTTGAAGTTGAAGCATGTTTCCCACTAGATTTGACAGCCCAGTGCTAAACAGTGAAATATGGAACATACTCTTTTGATCTTATTTATAAGGTAGAGAGAGAAGATTTTTTTTGGGTCTTATTTATGAGTCATTTCATTAAATTTTTACCATGAATGTACTATATTGTCCTTCATTAGTTATAGTGTAGATAGTTATTTTTTTTTAAAAATGTATATATTAAACAGGGTTGAAGTTGAAAAGTTGCTATATTTTAATGAAGAGTTAATGCAGTTTAAAGTTTTTCCTGGTCTGTGTGAAATATATTGAAAGTGCCTTATAAATAGGACTAGAGGAATGTATAAGTATGTATATATATTTCTGTCCATGATGCACTCTGCTGAATAGGTTAATTATTGACTGTTGATTGATATGTTGAAAATCGTATGGATAAATATGCCCTGATATTACTGACTTGCAATTGAAGCTATTTGGAGGGAATCCATTTTGCCTGTTTAACCGCAATAACGAACACTAATGCTGGTTGGAAAAAAAAGAAAAGAAAAAAGGCCTTGATAATATTAACGTCAATGTTAATTATTCATAGCTTTTAAAGGAGTGCATGGCTTCCAGGATCCGCATGAATAATTATTACGACTATATTGCCAATGATATATTTTTTCTTAGCAGTTTAATACGATAACCATTAAAAATGTTTTATAGTTGCTGGCAAAGAAAATGTTTATAATCGCCAATAATTTGTTTGAAGGTAAAATTTTTTTTAAAATCAATTTTATAAAAGATGATTAAATATTAATAATTAATTATTCATGTATCTGGTTAATTACAAATTATTAATAATCAATATCCATATTATTATTATTGTTATTATTATTTTGTTAAGCACAGTCTCCCTGAGGCCTCATCTCAAAGCTCAAACCCCTCCGTTCTCTGTGACAACCCTAATTTCCACGTTTCCACAACTCTCCACTGACATCCATGGAACACCGAGTAGTCAGGACGCTGCTTCTCTCATCTCGAGTCTAATCCCTGATTGATATCCACACCGCAAGCTCAACCAGTTCTTTACCGGTTCTGTAACTATCCTCAGAAAATGGCTCTTGCGCCCATAGAGTGTATATACGTAACAGATGACTGTGTTCGTGAATGGAAGAGTGGCAACCCCTCTCTCAGGGCCTCTGAACCCGTCCCATTGCTTCGCTTCCTCTATGAGCTTTGTTGGACTATGGTGGGTGATTTCTCTAAGTTTTCATACGAATAAACCATATGTTCACGTGTGTTTATATATTGAAAATGTTAAATTAGGGAGGTGTTTAAGGAAGTACCATTTCTTCAATTCTGGGACTAAGGACTGGTTTTTGGTTCTGTGCTGCTCTCAGGTTCGGGGTGAATTGCCGTTTCAAAAGTGTAAAGTAGCATTGGATTCTGTCATTTTCTCGGATAAATCTTCGGCCGAAAAAGTAGCTTCAAATTTCGCGGATATAGTAACCCAAATGGCACAGGACGTGAGTTACTGCTCCCTTGGATCTTTTATTGAGCAATGTTCCCTTCTCTCTGTCTCTGAATCCAGCATTAATTTACTGTTTCTACCTCACATCTATGCTGCTGCTGCTGCCCTGGGCTGAAAAGAATTACTCCGATTCTTTGTAACACCAAAGTGCCTTTTAGACGGTTTTCCAAGCTCCAATTACTTCTTTGCTATTGGAACATAACGGTTGCACTATTATGTCGCTCATTTTGATGAAAAAGCTGCTTCAAAAACATGGAGAAATTCAAAGCAACAGCAAATGGCTCCTAAATCTCTAAAGCTTCATTTTTTTTGAGTATATAGCCACTTTTACTTTATTTGAAGGATCATGTTAATTGTATCTCAAGCTAACAACCGTAATGCTATTATAAATAGAAATAACGCAAGCGTCCATTTTATCACCTCTTTCTAAAGTGTTGCTGCCTAAGCTCCCTGCCCTTGGATATTATTTTGGGTGAGGGAGTAATGAATTATTTTTGAAAGCTTGATTGATGATCTTTCTGTTAATATCTTGTTGTTCAGTACACTTAAATAAACTTGCCTGCTCTCTTGATTACAGCACACAATGTCTGGGGAGTATCGCACCCGTCTCGTCAAACTGGTCAGTATTTGATTTGATCTTCTGATGCTTTAAAACTATTGCCTTTCGTGTAAAGAACAAAGATTTTTCCTAGCTGGGTTTATCTTGGCTCTTAATGACCCTGATTTCTTATTTTCTTTAAATAAGAAATGGGCTTCTTATAGCATGGAAGTTTAATATAATTTACTTCTGTTACCTTTACTTTAATGCTTATAATACACTTGTTTTTAGGCAAGATGGCTTGTGGAATCTGAAGTGGTCCCAATTAGGCTACTCCAGGAACGTTGTGAGGTGTGATTTTCTTTCATCGCTTGTTTATAATAACTTAGTTTTCCTTTCTATTTTTGAGGCTTCTGGTGATAAGTTGAGGCGCCTCACTAATGCTTAATTCTTTTGGGAATTAGTAATTTCACGTATTTACATCATTTTATATGAATGATATGCATATGTAGGAAGAATTTTTAGGGGAGGCTGAATTGATCAAAATAAAGGCTCAGGATTTGAAGGGAAAAGCGGTGAGTAAATGGTTTTCAGAAATTATATGGCATATGATAAATGTCTTAGGTGCTTGCTATATCTCTTCTTTTCTTAATTTGTGATTTTTTTTTTTGGGCACCGGGAGACATGTATTCCTGTATAGTCAAGTGGTTAAGGGGGGCAGAGCAGATGTACTGAGGCTGCATATAGGGTTCGAGCTGTTAGTGATTGAGGTTTTAACAGCTCCAAAGCTTACATGTTGTGGTCCAAAGCCTATATCAGAGGATTAACTATGTGCCATGATAAATTATACTTGTGAGGGGCATAACATTGATTAGGTTGTCATTCATCCATCGATCAGTGCTAATATTTTTCCGCTTGCACATGTATAAATGCTGGAGGTGTTGATAAAGTCCTTGTTGCTCTTCTCTTGTGTAAATGTGTCTTGTCTTGTCTTTTCTTTCCTTGAACTGGCTAACTGTTGCTTATCTCTTGTGGACTTGGGTTTCTCTCCTTCGGCTGCTCTTAGCCTAAAAATTTAATATTGTAACATATTTAATTTCTTTGATTGCTAAGCTTGTTCTCTTTTGGTCCTGTTCTTGCTTGCATCAAATATACAGGATCTATATTTCGGCTTGAATAAAATCTGATGAATCTTATGTATATGATTTTTTTGTGCTGTTGATTTCAGGTCAGAGTTAATACACGGCTTCTTTATCAGCAGACCAAATTCAATCTTCTCAGGGAAGAGAGTGAAGGCTATGCGAAACTGGTATGAGCTCTGGTTTTTGTCTTTTATGCATTTTTTCCTGACCATATTTGCTATGAATCTTTTGTTCCTTATTGCAACAATTTCTGACCAAAGAGCATCGCACTGTCTTTTTTCCTTTCCTCTTGTCATATAGTTCTGGTAAAGTCACCTTTAGCCGGAAGTATCCTCAGAGCATTGAAAGTAAATTACCTCATCCATACAAAATACATCTACTCAGGATTCTACGTTTGCCAAATATTGATTTTTGACTGATTATAGCCTGTAAAATCATACATTTGGTTTTGCAGAACTATGGTCACAATGGTTAGAATGGAACGCATGAGTCTCTTGTCTGAAGTTTCTTCTGTAATATCAATGGCTTCCCCTAATGGATTTACGAAGCAATTGGAATACTTTCTTTTTAAATGTTCCTTATCCTGAAAAAAAAATTAGACTATCTGGATTGGGGTTGTGAGAACCAAACAGCCAATTGATTCGTTGACTGACTGAATATACAAAATCATGACCCTCACGAATAATTTTGCAAATCATTTTAAACTATTGTTAAGAGACATCAGCCACTGATATATGTCCGCCCTAGCTATTGAAAGGGAAGCAATGCTTGCTTTCTGCGGTTGGTGGTTCTGTAGTTTAGTTTTGTTTGTACTGAGAAATGTTTGAATGTCTATTCCTTTGACGCATATCACATTTCAAGCATGTATGCTTTCATTTTTATGTGGTTTTTGTTGCCCCAAAATTTTTTCAGGGGTTTTACTTTGTCTATTTCACGAATGGGAGGATGTAATAAGTGGACAAAGAAAATAAATCAAGTTTCAAATTCTTATATTTGGAAGTTGGATATATTTGTTGGATCAAATCTTGAAATTTCCAGACATGATACTATTGTATGTTGCATCATATTTCTATCAACTCTACAGGTTACCCTTCTTTGCCGGGACACTGAAGCTCCAACCCCAAAAGCAGCTGCAGCTACAATCGGGATTATTAAGGTTTTAATGATTTTCAAGTACCGTTACCATTCCTTTACCCTTAATCAGTTTATGGTCAAATTTGCTAATTTATTTGACCTCTGCAGTCATTAATTGGCCATTTTGATTTGGACCCGAACCGTGTTTTTGATATTGTGAGTTGCTTCTCTTTTCTCTTTTAATGAACACTACTGTGCAAGTTCATCTGTTTTTGGTGATTCTCTGAATGTTTTGATG